TGGCTTTGGAGAATGATTATAGACTGCAAAGGATGGACAAGATGATATGGTGTAAGATAACTTCCCCTCCCTTCCCCACCCCAGTACCTCTGCTGATTCTCGCAGTGCTTCAGAGTAACTATTTGTATGGATGGTGCACATGGGTGGAAATAATCTCAGGGAATCAAATGTATTGATAGAGGTTGAACAAAATGGAACATTGCAACTAGCAAAAGCTCCTTCTTTCTTAACTAGATGGATCCACATGTCACATGTAGGATCAATTTTACATCTAGTTCTTATTTTAGCCTGTGTACCTGCAGTACCTATGTTTTTTAATTAGAGTTCTACATATTACCCCTGTCCCGGCTGACACTCACTTTATTGTGTATTTCAGACTTATAACTTGGACCCTGTCACAGATTCACCCCAGGACAGTTACTTCTTGGGGTTTGCCGTGTGGCACACATGGATATTATTAGGTTTACTTTTGTGGTGTTTAGTCTCTAACTCTAGTTAGTGTGAAGCTGTGTTCAGTTTTATTCTTCTCATATCTGTATATATTACTGTATTTGATATAATGTAATTTTGATGTTTCTTTGTATTACATGCAAGAATGTGTCAGTAAGGCAGTGATTAACTTAAATGGCCATCACCTGTTTACACTTAGAAGAGAGAGTGGCTGAGAATTAGCATTTGACTTAGGTTGTTGATTAGTGGTGCATACTGAGATGCTCTGAGGCACAGTAAACCAGGATCTAGATTAGACCAGCCATTAAGTTCAGCCACAGAGAGTGATACATTTACATTTTAAAAGAAGAGCTAGAAGCTTGAAATCTAGCTAGACAAACTCACATGGGAGAGAGAGTATACTAGATTAATAAATCTACATGTCTGAAAAGCTGGTGGTCTGGTAAACATGTACTTTCTGGGGGCAAGTTATTGGCATAGTGTGAGGCCCCCGCCGAAATGAAGGGATAACTTATGTTAATAGCTAGATAAACAATAGTTAGGGACCTACTGAAATCATGGCAGAAGTGGGCTGTGCAGCACCTCCTTTAATCTTGCAGGTTCCCCCAAGTATACCCCTCCACACTACTGATTTAGCAGAGGGGCCCCTGTGGCCCTCCTGCTTGTTGCTGACCAGCTGTGGGTTAAAACCAGTGCCATATTTAAAACCACGGTTTTTGCCTTCCTTCCAATCAGGAGTAAGGAGCATGGCCCCTCTGCCAATCAGCAAGAAGGTGTGCAGGGGAACCTGCAAGATTAAAGGAGCTGCAGCACAACCCGCTTCTGCAGTGAATTCTGTAGGTCCCTAACAACAGTACTAGACAGCATGGCTTTGTCTTCAGTCTTCCCTCAGTGTACAAGGGGAGCTGAAGTCCCTCAGGCAAGGCTGGCTGAGAAAAGCAAGCTGACATGAGAACTTGCAGGAAGCCCCAGCAGAAAGGGTCAGAGCAGGGTCTATATTTAGACCTGTGAAGCTGGCTAGGGACTGCAACCTGAGTTTAAGGTGCAGGGTAAGATCAGGGTAACCTTCTGTATTTCCCTCTTATATCTGTTTCTACCTCAACGTACAGTTACCGATTTTTCTTATGCCTGCTCTTGTTTATAATAAATCCTTTTGCCATCCTTTTAACCCACATATTGGCAATGATGATTATGATCCCAGGATATCTCACCAATTCCCGTTGGAAGGGGGATCCATCCTTTCTGAGCTCATGTTCCTTCTTGCTGGGATCCATCCTTTCTGAGCTCATGTTCCTTCTAGCTTGCAAAATCCCCTCTGCTAAGGGCTAGCAAGGCCTGAGCAAGACAGGTCTGAGATACCACAGGCTAAGGAGTTAGCTTCTTGCACATCTCAGCTGGTTCTCAGTGGTCAAGCAGTTGACAGAAGAGGAGGGGTTTGGGGCAGAAGGTCACCCTGAAGTGTGGAAGCACCCTGGGAGTGTAGGTGTGAAGGGTGCACCCACGCCACATCAGGGGCCAGGGTGCAGTCCCAGACCCTTGTGCCATTAAACTTACCTTGGCCTGAGCAGGCTGTGGCATGGCCCTTGGCCTGCCTGAACTATATCCTGAGAATAGAGGGCACATCTACATGTTCAGTTAATGCACTTTATATAATTTGTGTTAAATCTAATACCTCCAAGCACTTATACACAGGCTCCGATGCATGTTAAATAGCATGCATTGGAGAAGACTTGATTAATAAAGTCTGCTGGAGTGTGCTAATTAGCATGCTCTAGCAGCCTCCTCATCACATGTATACAGCATCCCCACGCCTCAACATGGCAGCGGAGGCACTTTAGTTAAAGTTTGTTGAATGAGCTTTAGTTAAAGCACAACTGCCACCATTTTGAAATGCTGGATGCTGAATACACATGATGCTGCAGGTGTTTTAATTAGAGTGGCTCTGAGAGGGGTCTCAGAGCCGCTCTAATTAAAGTGCTCCACCCTGCGGCCTGTTTCAAGTCACCCTCCATTGTGAGGTACTGGAAAAATATGTATTGGCCTATTTTAATGTGCATTAGGTAAAGAGCATTTTTTGATGCTGTAATGCACATTAAAATAGGCTAATGTGCATTAAAACACACATGTAGACATGCCTAGATTCGTTACGTTATCTTTTGTTCTTTCCAGAAATGGAATTACATGGCCCAGCTGCCATGTAAGCACTAAGGACCAGTGTTTATCCCACAGTTGCTTAGGTACTTTCTTTACCAGAGCTCCAACCTTGTGGAATCTAGGTTTTTTACCTTTCATTTTCAGAGACAAGCAAATATACATATACAATTCTACTTATTAGGCATGTTAGTGGACTTAGGTGCCTAATATGTCACCCTGTTCCATCCTGCTTGATCAAGTCAAAGCCACGGAAAAACTTTTAATACAAAGGGGAGTGGGTCCTCTTCCTCCTTGCTGCTTGTTTGTGATTCATTTTCAGGGATAAAATGATGCATTAATGGATTTTCAGGGTTTTGAATCTCATTTAGGCACCTAAGTCTGTTTAGACCCAAGAGGTCTAGATAACCAAACTTTGTCAGGGTTCTTAAACACAATTACTGTTTACTTTAGCTAGCACCAGTATACAGATTTACACATAATAAGCACATATGTATTTTCCCTGTCTCTGTTTCATCACTCTAAAGTATTATTTGGTTGTAGATTAGTCCACTAACAACAAAAAATCAGTATTATGGAGTCAGTTGGTTTGTCTCTTAGTTCTGCAGTCGGTGCACTTCCACTTTCCCACCCAATCTTTCTTCAATGTGAGGCACTTCCTTTACAGTATCTAGAACCCTTTGTTAGGTGCCCACACTCTTTTTTCCTCCAATAAGCTCTGCAAGCAAGGGGGTTGCTTGGCTTCCAGTCATGTAGTCAGAACCTGGTTTGGCATCCTCTCAACCCTTTTGTATGGTTGAGAGATTTATTCAGATGTCAAAGCATCTTGGTAGTCTACTCACCCAACCAAGATTTAACTGAAACATGCTTGTCCATTGATCACCTATTCCTTAGCCTCACTGGGAGTCTCTGGAAGAAGTAGATAGCCCTTTGAGGCTGCTTAACAACCAACATATGATTAAAATTGTTACCTGAATCACATATAATATTTAATTGAACTAATGCAGGAATATTGGTTTCTGTGGGCAGAATGATAAGACGGAACTTGACCTTTCATGAAGTTGAAGAGGGAAGAAAAGATGAAGTTATTAAGCACATAACTGTGTGTATAACAGTCTGGAAATATTAAAGCTGTTATACAAACTGCTCAAGTGCTATAAAGCATAGGTAATTTTAGTTCAGAAAGTAATTATTAGTTTTCCTGATATTGCCTGAGACCTTGCAGGGACGGTAATAAGGTGGCATTTGTTGTTTGGGTATAGCAGGAACATACCAGGCGTTTTGGACTGACAAGGAGTTTGGGTCTACTTTTTTACATGTTCTAATTCAGAAATGGCTAGGGGAAAATGGAGGGTTAGTTAGCACTTGAGAGAAGTGTTTGAACATGAGATAGTGAGTATTTGGTATAATACCTTAACTGATACCATCTATGCTTTCTCCAAGATCAGCATTTAACTGGGCTCTGTTTATAATGAGAGATTAATTAATATAACTTAAAATAAGATATCGTTAGGAATCGGAGAGATTGCAATAGGGAAATAAGAATCCCAATTCTTAAATATTTGTTCCATTACAAATCAGGAACCATAATGCACATAAGGCTTATATGCTGGAACTAAGTAAATGCAATTATTATAAAGCACCTAACAGAAAATGGTTGAGGATTTATAGTCATATTCTACTCCAAATATTAACAGTTTTTGAATATGACACTTCCACAAAAGAGTGGCTTCTCATGCATATTTTGAATTGTGTTTGCTTACTTTACTGACTAAAATAAATATTTCCTACCCTTTACATTTGATCATTTTTGAGTAGATACAAGCATAGGCAACTATTCCAGCTTGCAATACCAGTAGGCTTGTTAAGCAAATTCAAATTAAGGACTATAAGTAGTATTGATCTATAAGCCAGGGAAAAGAAAAAGAACTGTACTTTCAGATTAAAAAACTTTTACTTCTAAGCAGAACAGATTTTATCTGGGAGACTTTGGGAGGCAATAGAGGTATAGAATGCCCCAAAGCCAACTTTTTGAGTTACTTCTTATGCTCAGGAAACATTTTACAGCAACTAGTGTCAAGGAAGTGTTCTGTAAACCAGTTACACTGTAAAATTAAAGGGGGAAAAATTGTGTCTGCAAATACAATATAGTATTTTGACATGGGCTTTAAAGTAAGTGTAAACAGTACTCCAGTTTCCCTGTATTCTGTATCTGCCTCTTACACATAGCAAAAGCATGCTTCCAATAGTAACAAAAAAGAAAGTAAAAATGCAGGCATTATTATTAGTTTTGGGGGTCTTATATTAAGAGATTATTTCAAAACAGTACAGAGACTTGGTGTTATTTTAACCTGACAAGATAACATGCTTCTCATTTTTGCTATGTTGTTGGCACTAACCTTTTTGGCTGGCATTATTGCCACAGAAACTTCTAATTAGGGTGGGCTGGCACTGGCATGTGCAATTTGCAAGGTGCTGTTGCCAGGCAAGAGGACAGAACACATCACATCACTGGGAACAATGGGCTTGATTCTCTTCTCCCCTTGGACAATATAAATCAGAAATTATCTCACTTTCAGTCAGCCCTATACAGTGGTCTAAGTAAAGAAAAAATGAGACCCACCATCCCCAAATATCATGGTGAAAGTTTCTCACCTACAAGCAGTAAAGGGCTAGATTGGCTTTTCTATTCTAGCAATGTGAATCATGAGGCACGCAATGAATATTGCCCTGATATACATTTTAGTGAGAATGTGGTTCAGTTTGTAAAGATGAAAAACACAGTAAATGTTCAGCACCTGCTAAAAAACTATACTGGTAAGTTCAGAAACTTGTCAAAAAAAGTTGGATATTTAGATTTAGGAATGGTGTTTTTTGAAAGATCAGTAATCAAAAAGGTTGTGATGGCAATAAACAAAATGGATCAGCCTATCAAGAGTGTGAAATGTTTAACATCTTTGCCAGAGCCCTTTTACATCACTGTGTTAATTGCTTTCTTCAGACCATATTCAATTCTCCTTATCCAGGCAGATATCCCAGTACTCACTATTGCTCCTAGTACTCCTGTACTTCAAGATTAACTGCAGAATTTTATGGGCCACATCCTGCTGCCATTTATGCCTATAACATGCCATTAATTGCAACACGGTTGGGTAAGTATAAAAAAAACCATAATTGATTTCTTGTACATATTATGATCCAAATGATGATTTATACAGGTGCATTGAAGGCACCAGTGGATTTGTTCATTGTTATATTAAATTACAAGAGGATTTCTTGGTAAAATAAATATCACACATTTTATAAAGACTTATATATTCAGTGTTGGAATACACTGCAAATTAGTTGTTAAAATATTTAAAGAGGTTCAGATTAAGGAATCAATAGTTGTTTTAATCTAGAAAGTGAAAAGGGGGTGGGGGACGGGGAGCTTTAATTTCATATCCCAGGCCCAGTTTGGCTTTCTAACAGGTGCCAAAACCATTGTTTTTACTTTATTAACTGGGACAATTTTAAATGCAGGTCTCTAGTTCTGAAGAAACAATGATATTTAGCTCTGCTGGGAGAATCCAAATAAAAAATGAGGTTTTAAAGCTTGCACTAAAGTCAATAACATAGATTGGTTAATGTCTTTCAGTAGATTTACCCCAGGGCCTGGTGTGAATAGTTTGAATTGCTGAAAAGGGTTATTGCTCTAAGTGCCATCTGTTTGGTCGAGCAGCATCTTCACTTTGTCAGGAAACTGTTGACAAGAAACTGGAGAGTACTTGCATAATACTGTCCTAACCCCGCCAGCCAGATCTAGCCAACTTCTCTCCAGAAGAAAGATACAGTTTGTGGGACAGCTTTAGTGAGCTGGCCTTAATGTCAGTGCTCTCTCCAGGGGCCCAGTGTTTTTAAATGCCTGCCTTTTGGCCAGGAACCACGCACAGCATCCCACTTCCCTCTTTACAGAAACGAAATACAACTTAAAAGCGGAGAGGACAGGTAGGAAACTGCAAGCACACCCTTGTCAGGAAGCGTGGTGACAGCACAGTGATGTTGCCCGGAGGATAAGAGTAAATCATCTGAAAAAGACCCCCCCCTTTGGATGAACATAAAACCAGGGGCACCCCAGCACCCCTCTGCTACTTCTTGTCGTGCAGCGCTGGCACCTTGAACAACGCGGAAATGCAGAAAGCGCGGGCCATCCCCATCCCCATCCCTTCGTCTCTCCCGGGGAAAGCCTCACGCGTCCCACCCGGGTGGGTAGAGCAGTGGCGGTGGGCGCCCCCCGGGCAGGAGCGAGTGCCCCAGCACTGCTGGCTGCGCCCCACGCCCACGCGGGCACCTTACCGGGAGCAGGAGCGGAGCCGTGCAGCTGTGCAGCATCTGTCCGTGCGGGCGGCGCAGCCCCGGGAGTGCCCGGCCCGGGCCCCCTCGCCTGCCAGCCGCTCTGCGGCGCTCGTAGCGCTCGGGCTCCCCGGACCCCCCAGATTTATAGGCAGGGCGGCGTTGCGCAGCCCGCTTCCCTCGCCTCTCTCCACCCCTCCCTCCCGGGAGCCCCCTGTGACCCTTCCCTCCCACTCCCCCACATGACGCTGGAGCCCAGAGGCGTCTCCTTCACCCCCGTCCTCCCCGGCCGCGCGCCTGCTCCGCGGGGCGCCGCTTTTCACCTCGTGGTCGTGCTCCGGGCGCGGGAACTTCTTGTCCCTTCCCGGGACGCGGGGGCACGGCTCGGCTCGGCTCGGGCAGCCCCTGCCCCGGCTGCTGCCCTCGGGGAAAAGCAGGCTCTGCGCAGCTTCCCTTCGTCCCTGAGAGAGGAGCGCAGGGCTCGCTGCATCCCGGGGGACCAAAGTTATTTTCAGGGCGGGCTAGCTGCAGCAGCTAGGCAGATGAGGCAGTGTGCAGGGGGGCAAGCTGCTCCGGGGGCTGCCTGCGTTGTTGTTTCTCGCTTTCTCCACCTATAGTTCCTCAGCTCTAGGCATGGCCTGAGCCCTTCAGCTAAGCTTTTCCCAGGGACAGTTAACATGACAAAAAGCTGTAGTACTGTAGTCACCAACTGCTAGATCGCGATCAACGGGTTATCGTGGAGCCCCTGACAGTCGATTTCAGTCTCTGTTATTTCTACATTTTCTTTGAGGTAGATCCTGGGTTGCACGCGGGCACGCCTCGGCTCGTCTCGGCCAGCCCCTGCCCCGGCTGCTGCCCTCGGGGAAAAGCAGGCTCTGCGCAGCTTCCCTTCGTCCCTGAGAGAGGAGCGCAGGGCTCGCTGCATCCCGGGGGACCAAAGTTATTTTCAGGGCGGGCTAGCTGCAGCAGCTAGGCAGATGAGGCAGTGTGCAGGGGGGCAAGCTGCTCCGGGGGCTGCCTGCGTTGTTGTTTCTCGCTTTCTCCACCTATAGTTCCTCAGCTCTAGGCATGGCCTGAGCCCTTCAGCTAAGCTTTTCCCAGGGACAGTTAACATGACAAAAAGCTGTAGTACTGTAGTCACCAACTGCTAGATCGCGATCAACGGGTTATCGTGGAGCCCCTGACAGTCGATTTCAGTCTCTGTTATTTCTACATTTTCTTTGAGGTAGATCCTGGGTTGCACTTTAATTCAAAAAGTGATCTTGTGCTTAAAATGGTTGGAGACTACTACTGCCAGCGCTGCCAAATGGGAAAGAAGGGGCCAGGGGAGTGGGCACTGTAACTCGCGTTGAGAAATAGGTCCTGTAAGCGGGCCGGTGATGCCAAAAGGAAAAGGTCTTTGAGTTAAGCATGACATAGATGAACTTCTCCAGCGGGATTTCTGAGACCCTTCTGGTACTGGCTGGTCAGAAGATGAGTTCAGGATAGATTTAAGAGCCTAGTTAAACATATAGATACCACTATGATGAACGTTGTGACATCCCACTGCAAAAAAGACTGCTTTCTAAATGTCTTGTCCAGGGTCTGGTCTGAAAGCCCTGTGCAGAGGATGTCATTGTAACCCTGTCTAGTAAAACCCACTCTGGATTAGTGGAGTATTATCTTTGTGATTTGAAAATGATTGGAATCATGGAAATATAGCAATAAACCGTAGAACAAAGGGGGGGGCGGGAAAGCAGAGCAGGAAGAAAAAAAAATTATACTAAAGACAACTTTAACTGGAATAACATGTTCTTCAGCATCTGCACGCACGTGAACTCAGTAGAGAATTGTTTGGCTGCATGATTTTTTTTTAACATCTGTTAGCAAAATTGGAGATTCAAATGAGAAATATACAACTCTGAAGCACTGCACGAGCTGAATTTCTTCCAAGCAGTGTTCAGTGTTCTTTTAGCAATGAATGAGTTAGCTGGAGAGAGAGGTGATGACACACAACACTGCCCTGACACCGTTCATGCCGTGTCAAATGTATATGTTTTCTTCAGAACAACACGGTGAAATGTCCAAAGGAAATATTAATGAGTAAAGTGGGAAATATATGACAATTTGGCACCACAATTAAAAGCTTCATCCTTTCGGGATTAGTGATTTAGGAACGGCTTTTTTTTATTTTTAAATTTCCTGTGCTAATGAATGTTCCAGACTGGAATTGGTTATTCAAAGTCTGTTATGGTTTTTGCAGCTTGTGTTGTGTGTCAGCAAAAAGGAAGATGTGTCACATAGTTCTTTTGAGCAAAGAAACAGCAGCTTATCTCTGCTGTGTGTTAACTTAGTAGCGATGTAGACCAGTCTGAGTGCTTCTGTACAGCCCAAAAGGCATGTGTCCCAAACCAGAATGAGTGGTGTGCTCTGAGAGTGACACCCCCTTATGGTTAAAGCTAACCAAAAAAGCTTTGAATGAACTATCTCAGGAGATATGTTGACTGGACCTTGATGAAGGCAATCCATTGTTATAATCAGGGATCCTTGTTTTCCCTGATAAAATCACAAATTCTCTGATAACCCCCCCCCCCCCCCAAATTCATGATTAAAATTAAAGGCCCCTCACAGTCCCCTCAGCTCTGCTAATGCCTCTCACTCCCCCTACCCCTCCAGCCTCCTGGCGCAGCTGGTGCCCCTTACTCCCCCTGCAGCTCCCTGGACCTGCTGGTGCCTCTCACTCCCCCCCACAGCCCCCTGGCCCTGCTCATACCCCTCATTCCTCCCCTACAGCTCTTCCAGCCCTGCTGGTGCCCCTTGATCCCCATCTGCAGCCCTCTGCTCCCAGTAGGAGGTGGTGGCTGCTGCAGCAGAGCGAAGCCTGTCTCCCCCCTGATGCCTGCTTGGTGTGGGCTTGGGCAGGGTAGGCCAGTGCCCCACCAGGGTGCACACTCCTGGAGCGGCAGGGGGGACCTGCGCCCCCCAGATCTGTGCATGGGGTGGGGTGGGCTGTGGGCTCAGGCAGAGGGGGTGGGGCCAGCTCCCTGGAGTTGTGCACACTCCCAGGGGCAGGGGTGACATGCACCCCCCAGATCTGTGCGCAGGGCGGGAGTGGGTGCAGGCTGAGGCTCCCTCCTGCTGCCCTCCCCCAGGGCCTCCGCAGCCCAGCGGCTGTGACCTGGCACCACAGGCAGGGCCATCCCTGAGGGGGAGCCAATCAGGGTGACCGCCCCAGGCCCCATGCTTTGGGGGCCCTGCGGAGCTGCATGGCTCCACATCCAGCCACTTGCTACCCACCCCACTGCCAATGGTGGCGGCAGCTTCTTTGGGTCTGGGGTTGCAGTGGAGGCGGAGCCCCGCATGGGCTGATTTGCCCCCAGGCCCCGTATCCTGCTTGGGTCGCCTCTGGCCACAGGAAACAGCGGAGCCGCGTGGAGAAGCTGCTTGTTGCTGCGAACTGCATGCTGCCCTGGTGATGTACTTTCTGCATGTGCGGCAGCTTTGATTGGTGCGATCCTGCGCTGCTGCACTCACCGCAGCCGCACGTGCAGGGGGCATGTTGCCAGGGCAGGGTGGAGCTCACAGCTTCTCCGGTAAAATGAGAGATCTGCATTTGCCTCTGGTAGAAGGTAAAATCCACGGTTTACTCCATTTTGGTGTGGGAAACAGAAAACCCAGATCCTTGCTCATCACACATAACACAACGCATAGTTTTGGCAAGGTAAAAAGAAACTAGAAGCTTTCATAGTAAGATACTCGACTAGGGCTATATTATTCAGATTAAAATTGGAACTAAAAACAATATAAATGTATAGGCATGTAAATTAATTTCTATATCATATGCATTTATATTGTTCAAGAGGGAAACCTGTATTTTTTGCCTAGTTTGTTGTTCCCTCTCTTTATGCTGTACATGCGTTCCTGGAAAATGGCGCATAACTCATATTCATATAAAGGGACCCCACTTTACAATGTAACAAATAATGATACTTTCCAAGACCTTGACTGTACTGACCTCCAGATCCATTTCTACCACTTTTACAAGGCAATTTTGGTACTCACCAACAGCAGAGAGGGGTAGTAGATAAGTTAGCGGGATGCATTGAAGCCATAATGGAGATGGCAACTACAGAAACACGGGTCGCAGACAACTAGCAAGGAGCACAGATCCACACAGGACACTGTTTTGGTGTGCATCGCTGCCACAATGCACCACACATAGCAGATGACTGCGGGCTTCCACCACACAGATCGCATAAGAATGAATTTACCTTGCATATAACAAATTTGGAGTATAAAAAGGGTCATTGCATAAGAGCTAATTCACACGTACGGAACCCGCATAAAGCAAGGGAGACCTGTAATCAAAATATGTTGTTTTGTTAGTCCTGCAGTCATTAGCATTAAATGGACATCTCTTCAGATTCATAGAACTAAATCTAGTTTTCTTGAGCATCTTGACAGTGGATCCAATGCTTATTTCTACACCTGAGTTAATGTTTTTAGCTACAGCTAAAAAACAGTCTGCAGGGATGTGAAATAAGAGCTTCCTTACCAGGAGAAGCTAAGGGACAGCAGAAATGCAGGAGAAAGTCTGTTTTGATTAGCTGAACATCAAGACCTGTGACAAGGAGAGAGTGAAGAGTTTAGAAGGAATTGGGTAGTTTATAATGAGCCATGAAGTCAGTTGACCCTGTCACTGCTGCCTGAATAGAAATGCTATTGCCACTGTCAGCCAGTTGGTTTTAACCTTTGGGTGGACCAGGAATCAAAGGTGAGTTCAGCTGCACCACTGTACCCTCTTGGATCTGCCTCTGGGTTTGGGTGTAGGGAGGTTGTTTTGCTATGACAGAAGGTTGAGATAGAGTTGACATGCAGATGATCTTCTTCAAGTGTGGCTGGGGCCTGGGACACAACGGGTCTTTAAAAAACACAAAACACTTGGTATTTTTAAGTTTGAATGTGAGAGTCACTTGTCTGTTTCTTTCCTTATTGTCTTTCCCTCAGCCTAGAGACCGACACCTGCTACTCTGCTTTACCTTATTTCTAGTCAGGCCTTTTCCTTTTTTTTGTTTGTTTGTTTTTCTGCCCTCGTGTACAAGAACAGTGTTTCAAAGTCTGAATTGCAGACTCTTCTGGGAAGTGTTTTAATGGGCGGGGGGAGGGTGGAAGGAAGGGCAAATGAAAACAACTGTTTCTATTGGAATGAAATAAAAACATGGAAACATTTTTGCTGGTTTTGAAATACATTTGGTAGAAGCTTGAATAGAATGTATATTTAGGACCAGATTTAA